CCCCCAGAGTGAATGGGAAATGACAGCGGATAAGGACTACCAACATTTTACATAACAAAATACTTCTATTCATTAATTTTATAACTGGCTCTACAAATTCCATTTCTCTTGATTCCTGAGTCACAATTCATTTCAGTACAGTTTGCTGCCACTCAGGGATGCAAAAGTTCTTCTGATGTGGAATAACCAATGGCCAACTCAAAGGAACAAAAAATGTTTAAAATCTTCATTGGTGATTGACAGCGTGTTAGATATTCCAAAAGACCACTTTAAAAATTAAGGTAATATTTAATAGGTTATGACATAATATGATTCTTGCAATTACACACAGACACACTCATATACATTTTGATATTTATTAACAAAAATGACCCAGAAGAGGGTTGGATCAAAATTACAATGATAAGGGTTAAATAAAAGTTTTCAGTTGTATTGTTTCTGGAGGCCTGTAATCAGTCTAGAAAGCTGTTTTATCTCCTAAAGCAGGACTTAAATTATATCATTTAAGTCTTAGATTTCAAGAGAAATTCTTCCGTTGTGTCAAAGCAAATGTGGAGGTTTTTGTTTTTACCTGCAAGCCTGCTTTCCTAAGAACATAGGTGAACTGGGGTAGAGTAGAGGGAGAAGTTAGACAAAACGGTTAAAAAAGAAAAAGGCAAAATCTTAAAAGCAGGAAATGAAAGCTAGTGAAGAAAAAGGGTCACTAATTGCCCAAAAATCATTCACTGAAGTAATTCTCTAGTCCCTCTATATCCATTTCCAGAGAGGAATTTTGAGAGGCCAGAGCAGATGATGCCCCCTTGGTTTTCTGGACACTTGATTTGAGTTGAGTTTCTGGTAGGATGGATTCCTTCTTGATATCTTTACCACCATTTAGAATCCTTTGGCTCTCGATAAAGAATTGATTAGGATGACTCAAAGAAAAACCACAATCATCCACCTGTACAGAGAAGCGAATGTATATTGCATTAATACATAGCAACACTATAAACAAAAGGGCTTTGAAAACTGTCCCTGACCTCATTCAATATCTATTAATTACATGAAACATGGATCCTGGCAGTGCTCTTTCATAACACTCAATCCACTACTTACATTTCCATTCAGAGGAAGCTTCAACTACTACCTACACATTACTGACTTTGGTGTTTGTTTCCAGCCAAACCTCTGCACTTAGCTCCAGTTCCATATCCAACTAGTTCCATATCCAATTCCTACTCAACATCATGGAGAGCTCAAAGCAAAATTCCTGGCATATTGTCAGTCAATAAATATTTGCTGTTAAAAAAGAAGGAAGGACCTTTAAACATTCCAGAATCACAGGGAATGGATATAAACAGAGACATCGTTTTGGTACTGGTCCCCAATATCACTCATATATGAAAACTTATAAGTCTCGCAGAGGTAATCTCATTTAGTATAACACAAATTCTGAAAAAGCAACATATCTTAATGTAATTTCTTCATTCCAATCTTGGGCTTTTTCTGGTGTCCCTTTGAATAGATAATCTTTCCATAATTTTCACTGTGGCTTAATGCAAACATGACCAGGTTCATAGTTTTATGCCATTTCTTTTCTCAAATCCTTACCCTCTCTGCCTTCTGCAGTTGGAGCTGATAACAAGAATACCATTTTGCTTGAGTAGTTTGTTGTTTTTTGTTAGGGGGTATTTTCACTTTATATTTTTTTATAAACTAAAAGGCCATGCTGCTACTTTTGGTCATCTGTCGTATAATTATCAACCTTTTTATGTCTTCTTACTCTTTGTACTGAAGTGACTTGCATACAGTAGATAGCTAATATTTGGTGAGTTGGACCCAGAACTAACCAGTGTATGCCAGTTATATTTTTCACATATTAATTGAAGACAATATATATAAGGCCATGTTATGAGCTAGTAATTTTTCAGCATACAAAAATGCATTTGACTAAGACTAACTCTAAAGAAATTCCTAGCCTAGATAAGTCTTATACTTAAAAACCTCTATCAAGAATTAAGAAGTGATAAGGGTCACAAGTAAAGGCCTATTATATTCCACATTAGAGAGAAATTCTGGCTGGGGAGATCAAGGAAGGCTTTGTGAGGGAAGTGCTGTACGAGTTGAGTCTGGAAAGACGGAAAGAGTAAAAGCTGGGATAATGAGGTAAGGGCAATACAAGCAGCAGGACCACATGAGTAAGGTAAAGAGGACATGTCCCAGGAAAGCAGGTAGTTCAGACGGCCTGGTGAGAAAGGCATATAAAGGGGAATAATGGGAAATGAGGTTGAAAAGACAGGCTGGAGCCAGACCTTAGAGAGCCTTGAAAACCAAAGTAAGTAGTCTAGACCTAATTCTATAGGCAATAGGGAGTCACTAAAAATCCTTAAGAAGGGATGTGATGTGATTAGAGCTATGTATAATCTTATGGTAGATTAAAATGGATTAGCAGGGGATTAAAAGATTTTATGTCATGGTCCAGAATGAACCCTCTTAACAGGTGGGCCAATAAATAGAAACAAGATCTTTTCTGGTAAAACTTAAGTATCCCCAGGATTCTCTGATTCTCTTTAGTCAGTTGTTGATATATGTTGTGCCAATAATTTTACAATAACTTCAGAGTAGAGCAGATCTGCTACTTTGCTACTTAATTTCAAAACATTTCCTGAATGTTTTATGATACATCTATAATTTTTATTAACAATGAAGTCATTTGTGAATTTCTTATTCATTTTCATCTAAAAACTGGGAGACTGAATATAAAGTTTGCATTTTACCAATTGTTTCATGAAAAGTAAGTCTATTGCCTAGCACATTTCAATCAGAAAGATTTGTTTTATAAATCGAGAACATTATATTGGAAAGACCTTGGGGATCCTTTAAGTCAAACTTCCTCCATGGACAGACTAGGAAACTAAGGCCTAAAGAGATTACATGGTTTATGCAAAGTCACAGAACTAGTAACTGGTTTTGTCTGAATTAGAATTCAGGCCTTTGACTCAATCACTTAGTTGCTCTAAAATTTGTTTTAAGAGGTTTAATGCAAAGTCAAATAAATGTACTATCATATCATTATAAATATGCTTTCTGGAGTTAAACTATCCTATCAAGATTATAAAAAACTGGTGCTATTTCATGCAAAAAGAATCTAGCACTATGTGCTATAATTACATATTGGAGATTTTCTACACCTTGTTTCAAGTTGTTAAAATTTTAATACATGTATCCAGAAAAGATGACTCTCTGGATTAAACTTAATTATTAAACTTCAGTGTGGACAAAGAGAAATATGGTAATCTTTATAAGCCTCAGTTTTCTCATCAATGAAATGGAGATAACAGTGGCTCTGTGATAGAGATGTTACGGGGACAGCCCAAGAAATATGAATGTAAAAACAGAGTTGTTGGTTCTATGAAATCTAAATTAAATGCTTTGTAAAGATTCAAGAAAGGCAAGTTACTTAAAAAAAATAAAAAAAGTTAAATTCCCCAAAGATAGAGGGAAAGATTATGTTGCTTTGCATGTATCTTTAAGTTCTTTTTCTCACTTTAAAGAAACCCAAACTGGAAATTGGTGATGACGTATTAGTATAGTTTATGAAAAAAATGAAATTGAATTCAAATCTCAAAACTATATTCAAACAAAAAATACTTTGCCCTTACATCAAAAGATTAGCAAATAAATGATATTTAAATGTTTTAACTGTAAAATATGTTTAAGGAAAGTACATTTTTTTTTTTTTTAATGAATCCCCATTTTAATTTTCTTATTAACCAACTAAAACAGTGCCAAAGGTCTTGAAATGAGAGCCAGAGTGATGTTATGCTTTTCAACTTTCTCTCTTAGGTATACAACTGCCTTTTCTTAACTCATTTTATTGAACTTATGGTCTATTAAGTTGCTTGATAGCATAATAAAATTATGAAGAGTTTCCTTCTGTTTACTGGATTGTATTTTCTTCTAGTATAGCTCCTTTGTCTTTTGAGTGTTTCTTTCACTTTTAGTTTTGGCTGAAGGAAGTATACAGTAGGTTCTGCAATAAGTTGCTTCGTTATAACATTGATGAGATTGTCATAGGAACCTAATCTTGTTTATATCAATTAGTCTATGGTAAAAATGGTTTTCTTAAACTTATACATTATTTTGCTTAAAGTCACAGAATCTATCAATGACATTGAGGACTATAAATGGTTGCCATTCAGTTTCTTTTAATTTTGCTCAGGAAAACAAACAGGTTTCTTTTGGGAAGGCGAAGAGCATAAACCAAACAGAAAAACAGATTTTACTTTGAATTACAAAAAAATAGAGAAAGAGAGTTAGCGCCATTCCATGTATTTCTGCTTAAGAATCAGTAACTGTTTCCTTTATTCTTCATTAAAAAGAAAAAGATAAGAACACTGTTTCCTTCATTCTAGATTTGGAAATAGAATTTTCACAATTTTGCCTGTTGTGAATATTGTTTCTTTCTTTGTCTTTGTTCTTGTTTGGTTGCTAGTCATGATGTTTTTCTTTGTGGCTGATGATTTTTTGTTTTGTACATTTTGTTAAGTATTGGGAGATGGAAATTCTATAATGCATTTTCACTCTGCCATATTAGCTTGGAATTCCCAAAGAATTATAAAGGATCTGAAACAAAATCAGTACAGTTGGGGACCGGGTAGTGGACTCCGCAGAGTACATTATAAATTTTGGATTTTATGTTAAGAGAGATCGGAAAAAATTTTAAGGTTTTTTTTTTTTAAAGCAGATTACTGAAATGGTTAGATTCTTCTTTTTAAAGATCACTCTAACAGCTGTATGGAGGAGAAAGAATTGGAATGGTACATATGTTGTAGATATTGGGGAATGAGTTAGGAAGCTGCTGCAGTGTTCAAGTGAGAGATGATCATGGCTTCTAGCCCAGTATTCTAATTGATATTCATAATAATGACCTTGAGTTAATATTAAAAAGCTTAATTGTATTTGGTATATCATATTAAAAACTGCAGGGAAATATGTGATAGATTTGAATAAGATTTCTGTAGAGATTTCTATGGTAGAAAAAAAATTATGCTCAGCTATTTGAAAAATAGGTATCCAGAATCACTCAGTACCTAAAAAGGTCTAAAGATATTTTTTTTCAATTAAAATTCAGAGATTATGCAAGGCCTAGTGTTGTCATTTACAAGTGGAGTATGTGAAAGAAGAAATACACTACAGTATGAAACATTGCTCCCTAAAAATCCTGAGGAAAACAGGTTTCAGGCAGGCCAACTTTTAACATCTACTAAGTGAACCTGTCTCGAACATTTGCTTGGAATCAACGCATTTTGCATACAATGTGACCTTCACGGGAATATAGGTCTCATATTTCTGCCACAGCAAATGTGGATTTTGAAGGAATGGAAGCAATATTGTTTTACCTATGGGATGTTTGGGTTTTAATCAAGAGGTTTTTGCAATGACAGCTTATAATGAGGCAGCTGGTATTACCAAAAAAGCCATATGGAACTATCACAGTGCTGCTGTAAATGGTATCAATTAACTGGTTCATTTTCAGAACTTTCATTAAAGTGAGTTTGATCATAGAGGCCTCAGGAAAATAAACACAGTGTTTTTTCTTGGGGTAGGGGAGACAGGATGGCAGAAACCTAACAATAAAAACAGATTGTTTTTAAATTAGAAAAAATAATAAGTTGAGATATCTACAACTAAAAATCCATAATGAGACATCCAGTGAACACAAATAGCCTTTTTACTTCATTGATTTATATGTGGTTTAGGAGAATTTAGAAACATGTCTTTTCCATGTCTATTAATCAAAGGCAAGTTTTAAAAATTGGCAATAGTAGTAATATTCTTGTAGGAATAATCAATAGGAGATACTACAAAAGAAGACTGGAGAACTAAAAAATGCTTACTTTTTAAGGGATATGTCACAAAAATTTTTTTTAAAAAAGAGGTTAAATAACTGACATCAAT